AGGAGCAATTGGCATCGGGTGTTGGGGAAGCTTCGGATGAACAAAGTGAGGACGACATTGAGTGTCACTGTAAACTGTTTGCATGTCCTGAAGAGGGTTGTGTAAAATCATTTCAAAGATTTTCGTCCCTTGAACATCATCTTGACGTTGGAAGGCACAAGTATGCTCTTGAGAGCCTAACTCTTCTGGATAGGGCAATGATGTCCTATGCTCCAAAACTAAAACAGGGTGTTGCCACTGTTGATAATCCTGTAGAGGGTTCTGGTAAAGCTAAGGCATCAGATTCTCGTTCATCGTCGTCAATGAGCTGGGCGTTGAAATCCTCCGTTACTCAAAGAATCCGACTGACTGAAAACCAAAAACAATACCTTACAGAAGTATTTAAAAGAGAACAAACTGGAAAGAAAGCTGATCCCTCCAATGCTCCTGAGTCAATGAGAAAAGTCAGAAATGCAGATGGCTCTTCTAGATTTGATGCTTCGAGTTATTTAACTTCTCAGCAAGTAGCAGCTTTTTATTTTTTTCACGCCTTGCTTCAAAGAAAGCTGTTCAAACTGATGAATTTGAGGACGAAGAAGATGAATACGCCGAAGAGCTGAATAAAATTCATGAAAAGAACATGCAAGACTTGAGTAACGAAGTCATGGCGGAAATATCACTTCAGCATCCGATCATGTACGATACGCATAACATTTGTGAAATCGCAGCTTGTTCTAGACTGGCAAAGTTTTCTGTACAGATGCTAGAAGACATATGTAATTTTTATCAGCTGGACATCTCAGCAATCAACGTGAAACGAAAGAAGCCTTACATAGACCTTCTGACGAAATTAGTTGGTAGCTGCAGTTGTAACGCGTCACTTTAAAACGCAGATTCAACATTAACAGTTGGGGCCTACAGGCCTCATCCACAATGCAACGGCAAGCTTTCCTTGAGGAGCTCCGATCATCCTTCAGGAATACAGAATCTTCTTTGAGTTTAATACGGAGTCTTGCTTAGATAATGAGACGAAGACTCCCCTGCGAAAGAACTGTAAATCAGGCCCCGGCCACACATATATAATTCATCTCGAACAAAACGAAGCAATTTATTTTCGCCCACTTTACTGTCTAATTTTCCAACTGTTTTCGCCTGTCTTCACTAAAAAGTTCGAAAACGATAAAAAGAAGTCGGACCTGCGACTGTGCATGTGTGAAATAAATGTTCTTCTAGTTCTTCGCGGTCTAATCTAATATCTCCTTTGTCTTTGGCTAGCGGCTGCCCTTCCTCAGCTCTTTGCTTTTATGGCGGAATCTCACAAAACGCTTCAGGCAATAATTTGCGACATTTTGTTTCCGTGGGTAGATCAGGCGTAAAG